ACACTTAATTATTGTGTTCTTCAGAGTCTTTTGATATCCTACTTAAAAATAAATAAAGACATGAGTTAACCTTGACTTCTTCAGGCTCCATGGACACCCATGATCTCCTCCTGGACACAGTATTGTGCTATTACTTACCAAAAATAATCATTTACAAGCATTTGGACAACATTTTGTTTTCTCCTATGATTTCCTAACCTGTTTCCACTTTGTCCCTACTAGAAAGAAAAATAAGTTAAGGAGGAAAAGAAAGAATAGAGTAGCTGATTAACCCCTATCTATTTATACTGCCCAGACTGTTTCTTGATCAGAAATCTTCCAAATAAAAATGAACAATTCATTCCATCCAGGTTTATCTGGCCCCATTTAAATTATACCACATACTGGTTGTTGTTGTTGTGCAGAGCATAGGAGAACAGTGTGTCATGTATGTTCATCACCTTGACTTGCTTGTAATACAGGCAGGATAAAAATATAATCAATAAATAAAATCAGAGATATCAGAGAAGCAACTAAATGCACAAGGAAAGATCTGGCAACATAACCTTTCCATGATAGTGTGAATTTCCTCTTTAAAGTTCTGACAACCACACGTTTGTTTCTTCATATTGTTAGTTTTCTACTTCATTTCCCCTCAAGACATTATAGAGTAGACAGCACTTTCTGTCCCCTGGCTCTTCCCACAATAACTCTATGAATCTGAGTCTCCTCAGTCATATTACAGTATTATGTGTTCATCTCCAAACACTTTGTTAGCCTTCCTCAGGCCCTTTTCATTTCTTCTCACCCCCGATGAAATGCTACCATATTTTTATTTGATTTCATTTGAGATGGCCACCATGCCTTTTTACCTGCCCTTTAAACTCCAAGAAAGAATCCCAAAGGAGTTTTCTCTGGAGACAATGCTTTTATAGATTCTACAATCTTGGTAAGCCACAAGTAAACTATGCAAACTCCATGTATTCAGAAGAGGCTGGAGTGCATTTTTAAAATATTCTTGTGGCAAAGGGCTCTCCCACAATGTAGTTTACTATGTTGACAATACACATAACTGGACCCTCATGTCAAGTAATCTTTTACGCAAAATACTTTATCTTCTTACCTGAAGCCTTCCGATCTTATCAACTGCATTATGACCTTGTAACTTTCTAAGTGAAAAAAAAGCTAGATTTTCTATTATCAATATGTGAATGATATGCAGCTTTACTTATCAACCCAAGACTCTGTAAATAAAGCTGTCTATTAACCCAATGCCTTAAGGCCTTGCATCTGGATGGGGAAGAAGAGACCAATTCAATGCAAGCAAAGTTGAGTGGCTTTGGTTATTCGTTCCCTTCCCTAGTTTACTATATTTCCACCATTGGCCACCATATTCAAGCCCTTCAATTCCACAGTTTCCTATTCAGGACTGATACTCAATATTGCGGGGCCAGGAGTACTCCTGCATTCGCTGCTACTGCTCAATAAGGAAGTGGCAGCTGTTGCAGGAGAACCTTTTCCCAGGTTCATCTTATGTACCAGTTACATCCTTAATGGAAGACCCTTCAGGTAGTCACTCATAGCTTGATCTGCTCACAAGGATGTTTATCAAGTATATTTGATAAGATCAGTGGGTAGGTCCCAGTTCTGGGAATTGAGGGACTTGAATATGGGGATAGAGTTACTCTTTGGGAAATGGAGGCTGCCCAATGTAGTAAGTGCTGACTCCAGATTAACAGTAGACTTCCCTTGACCTATAGTTTTAGGGGATTTTAATTTGCCTTCTCTAGAAATAGAATCTGAGGTGGTTCAGTAGTTCATGGCTTCCATGACAGCCATGGGCCTCTTCTAGATCATCCAGAACTTGACTTGTGGCAGTGGTCACACTGCAGATTTAGTATTCACTGTCAGAGCAGTGATGATATGATTTGAAATTGGAAACGCTCATGTAACTTCCTTTGTCATGGTCTGATCATGCTCTGATTTCTTTTGTATTCTCTAATGCCACAACCTACTACAGGGAGATTGGGCCCATTAGACTGATCCTTGTCCAGAGACTGATGGCCTCAGAGGAGTTTCAAAAGGAGCTGTGGCTTATCCCTGATGATCTCCTGCATGGTTGATTCAAGGCCTTGGTTGCTGCTTGGAATAAGGGGGACAGTAGCTAAGGCTTTGGATGAGATTATAACTACTTCCATTTCGGGTATCTATTAATCCCCAGGGCTTACAGAGGAGTTGACAGAGATGAAATGGGAGTGGAGACATCTAGATTGTTGCTGGTGATCAATAAGGAATTAACTCTACTGGATAGTGTGAGACCTGCTATTAAGGCCTACATCGTGGCTATAAGAGTGGTAGACTATTACTACATCTATAAAATTTCTCTCTAGATTTCTTTCTTTCATATGTAGATTTCTCATTATTCTAATAAGTGATCACTAATATGCCAGCTGTAATGGCTGCCAGATAGCTTACAGGTGTAATTCGAGATGAAGTTTCTGTACTATCAATTTCCTTTGTAATCAAGAATATTAATGGCTGTAGATACCTTGGTTCTTGAAGATATTAGTTTTTTTCTATGATTGTTGAATTCTATTTATTGTTGTTATTATCATCATCATCATTTTATCTCAAAGTTTACACATTTGCATGCAACTCTTAATAGCTTTTAGTGGATTAAAACATAACAATAGACAGAATAGTTAGGAATGGAGGGATTTATATTCCTTGCAGACAGCTGGTAATTTGCATCTTTTTAGAGCTTCGTTGAAGCACTTGGAGGTTTATCTGTGTTCTCAGAGTCACCTAAGTAGTGCTCCTGGTTCTGATAGTCTGCAATTTTTCCTCTGAAAATCCATTCCTACTCCCACATCATTCAAAGGAATGAACACAATACATTCTGAGTAATTTGTTATTCCTATAGAAGCTCACAGTTAAATTCACCTACAGGTAAGTAGACTCTCAAAACTTTAATATATTTTTGTTTTCACAATTGGATTATCTGTGTGTGGCATGTTTTTCTCAATATTTTATTTAAATATTTTAAAAGTAAAGATAAAAGTTTCCCATCCAATCGTGTCCAACTCTGGGTAGGGGGGAGAGTTTCATCTCCATTTCTTAGCCGAGGGAGCCAGAATTGTCTGAAGACATTTCCATAGTCATGTGGTCAGCATAGATGTATACCAAGGGTCACAGAATGCTGTTACCTTCCCACCAAAGTGGTACGATTTATCTACTCTCATTGGTTTACTTTCAAATTGTTTGGTGGGCAGGAGTTGGGGCAAGTAACAGGAGCTCATCCTATCACGCTGCACTCAGGTCTCAAATCCAGACTATCAACTTCCCATCTGATAATCTTAGCAGACTGCTGACCCATTGTGGCCCAGATAAATCTTTTAGGGTATTTTTTTTCCCATGAATGGCTTTATTCATGAATATAAATGAGATATTTGGATACTTCTTAAAAAGCTAAGGACAAACCTACTGAATATACTCCTAGACCAAGTAAGACAAAGCAATAAATGCAGAAACCACAGGACCTGTAGGGTATTTTATTGTGGACTTATTTTAGACTACAAGTCTGTTGCCTGTTCATTCACACAACTACTTGAAAATATAATGGGGTGGGCTAAGTAAAAGTTCAGGAACTCCTGAGGATCAAGACTAGTGAAAGCAATTGTAGAAATTAATTATGCTCCAGTGGCATAAACAAAATCATCCATTCATAGCACATATAAGCATAGCAGGGTAGACATAGTAGTATATCATATTAGCATGCAGTGAATGATTCCATTAAACTGCCCATTATGCCAGTTAAGTGAGTTTTGTTTCATTCTACAACCTTTCTTCCCATAGTTGTGAGTCACTGCCGTTGTTCAGTGAGTCTAGATTCCCTACTGACTTTGTTTCTCAGAAGGTTGCCAAAGGTTATCGTTTGATCACAGCATACTGCAACAGTCATAAATAGAACAGAAGGGAAGGGAATAAAAGATTTGGAAGGGACCTTGGAGGTCTTCTGGTCCAACCCCCTGCTCAGGTTGGTTGTCCAATCTCTTCTTAAAATGGTTGTCAAATGTCTTCTTAAAACTTCAGTATTGGAGCATTCACAACTTCTAGAGGCAAGTTGTTCCACTGATTAATTGTTCTAACTGTCAGGAGATCCCTTCTTAATTCTAAGTTGCTTCTCCTTGATTAGTTTCCAATCAGTGCTTTTGAGAATAGTTTCACCCCCTCTTCTTTGTAGCCACCCCTGAGATATTGGAACACTGCTATCATATCTCTCCTGGTCCTTCTTTTCATTAACTAGACATACCCAATTCCAGAAAGCATTCTTTGTATGTTTTAGCCTCCAGTTCCTTAATCATTCTTGTTGCTCTTCTCTGCACTCTTTCTAGAGTCACATCTTTTTTACATCGTGGCAACCAAAACTGGATGCAGGATTCCAAGTGTGGTTATATGAATCAGTTGTCAAGCAATTCATGTGAATTTTGATCATATGACTGGGAATGCTGCAACAGTCATAAGTGTGGAAAAGTGTCATGAGTCACTTTTTTCAGTGGCACTGTAACTTCAAACGGTGATTAAATGAATGGTTGCAAGTTGAGTTCTATCTGTGTATTCAGCTGTTACAAAAATATCAAGAGCAGAAGCATCCCTTCATCCTTGGGAAATGAGACTTGGTCTGATTCCTCCTTGGCGAAATGGGGCATTAGAGAGAAAAGGTAAAACACCAACAGTCTTGTAAGATTCTTTTACTATAATAAAAAGTATTTTTCATGTGCCTATGGAATCTGTTTTCTGATCTGGTCTACCTTATAGGTCTGACAAACATACATGGCACCTGCTGTGAAATTTCTACTTTCCTTCAAAGTACTTACAAAGTAGGGCTAGTAGTAGGTAGATAATAGCGTTACCCTAATAAATTGATACATCTGTAGATTCGCAGGTTGGAATCAATAGTAAAAGCAATTTTATTATTGGAATTTTATTTTAACACTCATAGGAATAAAGCAAACTGAATATTATTTTATGGCCAAAATGACATCAAAGACATATCCTTTTTTGAACTGAACATCTTTAAAGCCAGCTGTGTTGAAGAGCGTATGATGCTCCGATGCTTTCCGTGTTTTTCCTTCAGAGTAAAGCAACATTACAATGCAGTACAAATGAGCAGGAAGAGACTCCGATATGTCTTCATCAACAGTTGGTTCCACCAGTAAAACTCCACCACCTGTTGCAAAAGTAATTTGGTTAATTCAGGAACAAGTTGCCTAGAAAAGGAGTGGTTTTCTTACCACCTCCTTTTCTTTGCTGAGACTGTGACTTTTCTCTCACAACTTTGCCCCTCTTCTAACAATATTGTTTTGGACTCTTTTTTCCTAGGCTAAGGCCATGGTCTATTTTAGCCCCTTTGTGTCCCAAAAGTTATCGTAATATTATGCCAAGCTGCAGCTCCTTCAGCATTGTCTATCTCCTAACACATACTATTTTAGCCCACTTAATTCAGGACTGCTTTTGGCAATCTGCCTATACTTCATCATGGAAATTTTAAGCAATCTTTTCCCAACTGGACTTTGCTTATATTCAATGATAAATGGCCTCTCACTGCCTTAAAAAGGTAAGAAACAAATAGGTTTCATAATCTATATGGGATTTAGGCACCTATGGGAGGAAGTGGTTTCCACAGTATACTGATTCATGATTCAGTATGGTTAGAGAATGTGATCCAAAATGTAATTATAAAATTTCTTCTCAGAGTTCAGATTTAATAGCTAAGAAATATTGTTTGTGCTTTAAAATGTCAAGTTTGCCTCCAGGAGATTATACATTTAGAAAAGTGTTATAGCACGTATTTTATGTGCAAATGGATCAATTTCTAATTTATTAGGTAGAAAACTTCCACCTTTCTATCTCCAAATCTGCTACCACCTATTTTAGCAACACAATCCAGAATCAACATTATTTCTTCCCCACTATAAGTATTCCTCAATTTATGACCAGCACATTCAGTGACTATCCAAAACTACAATGGTGCTAAACAAAGGGAATTATGTTTAATAATTAATTTAATAATAAAGGGATGATGTTACCTAGTCTGGTAATGAAATGTAACATTTAGAAACTAAATTAAAACAAGTTTAGAGAGCAAACCACTGCCAAAAGGGGAATCATGATTCCTGCCTGAAGTTACAGCTATCGCAGTGCCCCTGTGATCATATGATCAAAATTTGGGCACTTAGCAGTGCATCCACAAACACACCATAGGGACAATTCCTTCCCACCTGTTTATCTCTCCCCACCATCTCAGTTGCCCACCTAGTCCTCCAGCACATACAGAGCTGCCCAGGAGGCCTCAGCCTGGTTCCTACCTCTCTCTACTGCATCACATCCAGAAGGCTCAGGCCTTCTCCCTGCTCCACGTGCCTCGCCTATTACATTTGCTTTTCTGCAGCTACTGGTAGCTATCCCAAACCAATGCCAGACGGACCTGAACAGCTAACAACCATGATGTTTCTGAAGAGTAAAAAGGAGCAGAGGGAACTCTTGTATGGGCTGGAAAAAAGGAAACTTTGATCCTAAACATCCGAGCTTCCTTTCTCTGGCCCTGGATATTGGTTCTTTTCCATGCATAAACAGTAGGCAAAGGCCTGCTATGGACCAAAGAAATAAAATTCTTTGAAGCAGATCAATCATATACTTTGGGAACTATCAGGCAGGTTGCCTTCACCCTCTTTCTCTTACACAAAACTACCTGAACTGTATTGTCTCTTACATCTCTAGAACACATCCCCTCTCTCCGGTGAATGTGACCCATCACAGACCTTTTGGTTCCTAGCTTCCTTTCTCCAGCCCAGTGCACAGAAGGGGGTAGACTGCCTTCTTTCTGCAGGCAGTTTTTCAGTCTGAGTTTAATGATCCCTACAATTGTTTAACAACCAGGAGACCAGGATTGTAGCTGTTGAGCGAAGCAGTCATGTGAAGTATGGCTTAATGACGGCAACCACTTACAATCAAAATTATGAACCATAGTACTTGTGTATTGCCAAAGCTTGTTGTTAGCACATAAAACAGCCATGCAGGGCTCTGATTGGCTTGCTTTTCTTCCCATTCGCAAATAGCAATTTGTCTCTTTCTAGTAATGTAAATATGCCTACCTGGCTTACAGGCCATAAATAATTTTGTTAGCAGCTGGATGCACTTTTCATCACTCCAATTATACATGACTTTTGATAATATGTATAGATCTGCTTCAGGAATTGGATCTTTAAAACAATCCCCTGTAAAAAGAATAATCCTTTTATTAAAGTAGGACTCTGTCAAAGCCTAAATCATCTTGGAAAAAGAATTGATTCTCCCTTTCATAAAGATTGTCTCTACAATACTACTAGCTTCTTTCAGAAGTGCTTTTTAAAATGGCAGAGATATTGATTCAAAACTTATATTACCTTCATGGAAAGAGATCCGGGAACCATCTGAAAATAAACTATATTTTTTTGATTTTTCCACAATTTCAGGAAGGTCACAAAGTTTCACAGTACAATTTGGGTACTTTGAAATTAATTCCTTGGCTAAGCAAACATTGTTTCCTTAAAAAAAAATGCAAAAAAAAAAGGAATTAAGAAAAAAATCCTGTATGTCAACATTTGTGATGATTTACTATAACCTTTATTAAGATTTCTTAGTTATTTCCATCACTTTAGGTTTTATGTAGCTGGGCTAAGCAGGTACATAATACTGTGATTTAAACAAATATATTCATTGAAATATGTTGTCTCATTCATTGTCCTACACTGTTGCATTTTTGTTGGTACCTTTTTACTACCTCTAAGGAGTTCATTTATTTTAAAATCTATCCTACTAGATGTTATTTTTCATTCCACTCCTATCCAGTGATTCTTTGCATCATTTCTTCTCTTATTACTTTGCTTTATCAAAACTAAAGATCTTACTTTTACTCTAAGTGTCTGTAATAAAATCTGAACAGAAATTAATCCAATCTTTTCTGTTCCATTATTGTTTACAGTTTTATGTAATGTATCTGTTTTATAAGTTGTGTTGTTTTCCATTCTGACTGTGAAAACATTTTTCAAACTTAATACCAGCTATTCAAGGATCTTTTATCCTAAAACCTCCACTATAGTAAATCTATGCTACATTATAGCAATAGCACTTAGACTTATATACCGCTTTATAGTGCTTTACAGCCCTCTCTAAGCGGTTTACAGAGTCAATTTGGATACTCATTTTACCCAGCTCGGAAGGATGGAAGGCTGAGTCAACCTTGAGCCTGGTGGTATTTGAACTGTAGGCAGCTGGCTGCAGAAGTAGCTTGCAGTACTGCACTCTAACCGCTGCGCCACAGAGGCTCCATATTATGTTTTACTCTTTTTTTTCTCTGTGTGTGCCTTTAACTAAGTTTTGACTCCTGGCGATTGCCTGAACAAGTTCCCCCTGTTTTCTTGCCAAGATTTCACAACTGATTTGCCATATTCTCATCCTAGAGCTGAGAAAATAACTGGCCAAAGGTCACCCAGGTGGGTTTCTGCTTGAGGCTGGAGCACAACTCTTGGTCTTCCAGTTTCTAGCTTGATGCATTTAACCCCAACAAAAAGCTCTTTCGTGGATTAAGATAATGCTTATAAGATAATTCATTTTAAAGTTGATATTCACAATCAATGTTTAAATTCTAGGAGAGGAAAGACACAGGATTGGATCCTTCACTCTGCCTTTTACAATTAGGAAATTACATGTTTTGACAGAACCTGAGTACCATATCACATTAAATTAATAATAATGAGTATGATTAAGACCTTCTAGTACTTACCATCTAGATTATAAATGAGCTGAAAACCAGAAAGATCAAATGAAGATACAACTTCTTTTCCATACAGAGTCCAACTTTCATTCGTGTACCTAAAAAGGCTTTCGGCACCTTCATTTGATCTAGAATTAAAATTTGCTCTGGCAGATGATCAACATACATATAACTAAATGCAATACAATATGATTAACATCTGATCATAAAGCTGGAATTATACTTTTCATTATATGGCTATGGTTTCTGCAGGCTTTTGTGTTAATTATCTAGTTTTAAGAAGCAGGTTGTTAAATATCTGAACTGAAGTTGATGGCATTTATTAGTCCATATGCACCTAAATGAATTATTCCCAATTATTCTCTATATGCTCACTTTATACACTGAACAATTCCTGGCCAGAACTGCTAAATGTGTCAATATGTGCTTTAGGATCAGCTGTTCTGGAAGGGATCTGAAAAATAGTCCAACGTTTTTGTGGACTGGCATTTGAGCAATAGAAAACACAGGACAAGGATTTGGGTGACTCTCTGGGTAATGAATGAAAGCATCTTTGTTCCTATACCGCACATTCTAGCAGTTGAGATGTAGTTGACCTAGCTTGACTTGTAGATTTTGAATGTCCCTTTTGAAAATTAATTCTTGGACATGTTGTTAGAATATCCCAATACCAGAAAAAGATAGATAGAAATCTTGAAAAAATCATAAGACAGAAAAGACATGGGCATGGTAATTGTGCTTCACTAAAATCCAAACATAATTACTTCTCAAAAGAAAAACCCTCTCTTCAGTTCTTTGTCTTCTTGCAAACAATCTGTTCTTCAATTTTCATAACTGATAACTTGCTTAATCATGTTGTTTGCAACCTAGTCCCCAAGTTTTGACTATAGGTTGGATGGAATAATGTGAGAAATAAGAGCAAACCTGGGTTTTGGTTCTGCTTGTGACACACTGGCCAAAATCATTGCAGGCGAGTAGTATTGCTAATTTAGTCTTTTGGTCTTATGAAAATATTTGCAGGGTTGCAAAAATGAGATAGGTTAAGAAAAACAAAGGAAAACAGCTATTTACTGCCCAATCTTTATATAGAAAAATCATAAAAATGCTAGTTTTACCTGTACAGAGGTTCATAAAAATCTTTTGGAGAAATGCCATGTTTCGACAGAATCTCAGTGTTTCCATCCCTGTAGCAGATATTTTTGTTTGTTTTTTAAAAAGAATTGAAAGTAAAATAAATGACATTGGTGATTATATTCTTTTAATTTCTTCGATTATATTCAGCATCAAATAGTGCTTGTATTCAAATAGCAAATAATATTACTTGCAGTTACTCAAAAAATAAACACTAATGGAAAGCTAGAAAGAGAGTAAATTGAACTGAGATCTTGATATTCATTTTGTTTCACTGTGTGTTTTTTATTATTAAATAGTATGATGACCAAACAAATTCCTTTAACCAAGATTGTTTTCTTCTTGGCTAGTAGAGAGCAGATTGTTGTCTTTTGAAGGATTTTTTTCACATTGATCATTAAATTATGAATTTTAAGGTTTTAAGGTTTTGATCAAATGGGGTAGGGTTAGGGTTAGCTTTGTATGTATGTGTGCAGGCATGCTTGTGCATGTGTGGAGACATTTTCCAGAAAGATTTCTCAAGAATTAAATTTTCATTAAGTGAATTTGCAACATGTACCACTGGAATGTCCAAATGGAAATGGGTGTTGGGTAATCAGCTCACTACCATCTATTGAAACCCCATCTCTTGTACAGTGCAGAAAAGTACTTCAAGAAAGTACAGGAATTGTTAGTTCTTTCATCTCAACAGAGTAGCTGAGAAAACAGGCAAATTGTATTAAACGATGACGATTCTACAATAAACGAGTGAATAATCAAGAAATCTAACAGCAATCTCTGAGTGAGGACTCAAGTTTCTGATCTTTTTAAGACTGGTCAGTAAAGTGTCCTTGGTGAAAAGATTTTTATTCCACCAATACGCTCTCCTTACCTCACAATTTCAGGCAAGTATTGCAATGACGAATATGTGAATTCCGAACAGAACTTCATGGAATAATACTGAGACTTTGGACTTGATTTAGCCAGAAAGAGATCAGCAAACTCTGTGTTCCCATAAAGGTCTGAAAATGAAAGCATATTATAAATTGCTTCAAAATACCATTTCTGAATTCCATATACTTTTGAGATGAGCAAAGCATAATGTTCACTGTAAGTGAATTGTAGTTTTCAGTTTATTCCAGTTTGTTTCAGTCATGAAATCCAAAACATTTGTTCTGGCATTCCAAAAAGTAAGGTGACCAATTTTTTTACAATGAAAAGGAGGACACAAATAAATTGAAGAAAAAAAACAAAGCCATTTGCGCATGGCACACTCTTGCACGCGGTGTACTCTTGTGCATGGCACTCTCTCTCAAAACAATTCTCAAATGTGGAGCGCATGCGTCTCATAATCATGTCTCGCCACACTGTACCGAACCTTGACGAATCTTCATGTCAAATACAAATACGTCACATCACACACAATGGACCTGATCAGCATCGATCAAATACGGAGATTTACAGATTAGTCTTCAAATATCAAAAAGGAGGACATGTAGGAGGACACTTTCTGGGAGAACTTACAGAACTTACAAAAGGACAGTCCTGTCCTCCCTAAAGGAGGACGGTTGGTCACCTTACAAAAAGGGCTGCTGACAATGTTGAAATAAGTTACAGGCTGGTAGACTGGCTGAATTCTCTGGATATAGCATTTATAAGAAAACAAATTAGTAACCAAAACTCATTAGCTATGTATAAGTACTTCACAATGACTAAATCAAAACAGAAGAATAATGAGGAAAAAAATGACCAGAAAGTGCTAACTTTTTGGAAAAGAATGCTATGTGATCATTTTAAAACAACTGTAACTGCTTCCTCCCTGCTAACAGCATCACCTTTGCCATCCTTCCATTCCACTTTCAGAACCTTTAACCCCACACAGGCCCTCAGCAGTGTCTGCATCCCAATGAGACTGGTGTTCAAGCGCTCAGCCACAGTCACAGATGATAGCAGTTCCCCCGACTCCCTCAGCAAATCAAAGACACCCAGCTGACTTGCACTAAATATGATCTGGAAAGAAATATACAACATTTACAAAAGGAGACAGTGTGAGTACAGATTTAAGCTTTTTAATGTGCCAGATTATGAAGAGAATCATATTCGGACTCCAGAGAACTATGTGCTTTGGAGCATGAATTGTGTATAGAAGAAATGGAGCCAGTACACTGATCCACTCAGCTAGAATGGTTCCTGAGAGTAATATGGATGACATATAAATTTAATAAATAAATAAAAATTACAACACAGATGAGAGCAAGTAAAATTATATATCCCTCTAGAGTGCTTGGTTCCTTTAGTGCAGTGGTAGCTAATCTTTTTCGACTCCTGTGCCGAAAATCGCATGTGTGCTTGCGCACACGTGCTCACATGCCAGCACCTAGAAGGCAATGCATGCTGGGGGGGGCACGCCCATTGCGCATGCATGTGTGACCTCCCTGCATGCACTGTGCATCTCTGCACTTGCACGTGTGATCCCCCATGCACCTGTGTATGTGTGCATATCCTTTGCGCACCCCCGCACCCTGCGCATGCGATACCCAATAATCAGCTGTTGGGCATGCCCAGTGGGGCCCTTCTGGGCGACCTCTTGTGTGCCGTTAGAAGTGGCTCTATGTGCCACTTCCAGAACGCCATAGGTTGGTCATCATGGATTTAGTGTATTTGTTGGGGAAATAGCTGGAAGGAGCCACATTTGTATTTAAAAAGCAGAACTCTTTCAAGAGTTGTCTTTTTCATTTAATATTTATTGCTTTCAAATTAATAACAAAAAAGAAGAAGAAAAGGAGCAAAACACAAAGACAATAATTATGGAGATGCATACTTTGCCAGAAAGAGAAAAGAAAAGAAAATTTATCTGAGAAAGATGTCTGACCCCACCCAAATTGCAATTTTCTCATGAGCGGCAAATATTATCAGGTCTAGAATAAATGGGGTCATGGGTACTATTTATGATGCTCTTTCCAATTTCAGGTAAAATAATACCCATTCATTTTAATTGGTTTAATTTAATTTGCTTAATTCAGTTAATGATTGCAACATTGACTTAATGATTGTGGCATTTGCTTAATAACTGCCACGGAAAAGTTTGGAAATTTACTGCCAGTTACAAGAATGCCTTGACTTACAACCATAATGACTTACAACCACCAATCCATTGAAATTTTGCACAGGGAAAGGATATTTTTTAAAGATTGAATACTCCATATATATTTGTAAGTATTACATATCTTACCTTTGAAATTACAAACGAATACTGGTAATGAAATAATGTTTTAATATTTTCAGTTTCTTCAGCTGAACTCATTGTGTCCTTAGGAAGTTCTACAGTTCTCCTTTTCATATTAAATCAAATGTCTTTGCAGGTCTAGCACTTCAGATATTTATGGCTTGATATCACAAACAGATAGAGTTGCAAAATTAAATAAATGCATAAAGAAATTATTTTAAACAATACAAGAAAGCAAAGGGAAAGAGGAAAGGAAGATTTCATTAAATATATGGTAATAAGAATTACTTCTAGTCACAAAACACAAATATGAGAAATATATTTGGCATGTTCAAAGTGATTCTAAGAACTTTTTTTCAGAATCAGATTACTTTAAGAAGGAATCACATTTTTGAAAATTAGAAAGTCCTATCTATTTATACTGCTTAGAATATAAATAAACAGATCATTGCATCTAACCTCTTTCAAAATAAACCACATGTAGTACCTGATCCTATTTATATCAGCATTTGTTCCCAACTATAAGGCAGTTATGTGCTATATCCCATCTTTCAGCACAATTCACCTCAGAGGACTGTGGTTGTGCAGAACATAGGAGAAAGGTGCATTATGTATATTCTCTACCTTGAACTACTTATAATGCAATAAAGGCAGGATAAAAATCAAATAAATAAATAAATACAATCAGGAATGCCAGAGAAGCAATTAGCTGCACTAATGCAGGATTTCTTCCATAAAGCTCTGAGAGCTTATTTGTTCATATTGTTAGATTTGTACTCTTAATCTTCCTTCGACAGCATAGATAACATTTTCTCCCTCCTGGCTCTTCTCACATGGACCCTATGCACCAGTCCCCTAATCCTATCATTATGTCTTCATCTCCAAATACTTTTGTAGTCTTTCTCAGGGTTTTTCATTTCTTCTCATCCCAGGTGAGACACTATCATTCTTTTGGATAGTCACCTTCCCTTTTTACCTGTCCTTTGGATTCCAAGGAAGAATCACAAAGGAGTCTTCTTTGGAGGCAATGCTTTTATAGGTTCCAGAGTCTTGGTAAGCACAGCTAAACTATGCAAATGCCACATCTTCAGAGGCTGGGGTGCATTTTTAAAATATTTTTGGGCAATGGACTCTTCCTCAATGAAGTACTGTGTATACTGTATCTGTTGTTAAAAATAGAGTTCAAAAGTGCAGATAGAAATCTTTCCAGAATTCACTTCTTCCTTAAACTTGCCCAATAACACATATAGACAAACACTCACTTTGCCTAATTGTTGTGACTCAAACTGTGCAATAACAAACTCCTCTACTAAGGAAGTAGAAATACCTCTTCTGCTAACTATAGTAAATGGCAGCTGAATAGAAACTGTACCTTTGGTCTTTCATTTCATTTCAAAGCTTTTATCCCCATTGCGGAGCTGAAGAAATTGAGTTCAAGAGTTTGTTGGTTGACTCTTTACTGATGTCTCTGCCTTCTCCTAATCAACACAAATATATCGAGTAGTACATGTTACTATGTGTGACACATTGAGGGCAGAGCACCAAATTCACACTTTACCCAGAATACTTTAACTTCTTACATGACAGAAAAATAAACACAGATGGCTGGTGCTTCATTTAACATCAGACTTTGATGTTTTGCATACTGCACAATCCAAATATGCCTTACATCCCTTTACGTGCAATCCTTCTGTGGCTTTTCACTGCCTGCCTCCTGGCGACGACAGGGTCTGAACTCAGAGCCCTGGGCCTTCTCATGATAAATAAATAAACACACGGCACACAGTGTTTACTCGGGATGAAAAGGCACTTTAATAATGGTGGGTACTCCTTTTATAGGCTACATGCACACGTCATAGCAGAGACAAAGAAGCTTTCTACATAATTATGCTAATGCAAACCTATACCATAGCTGGTGTCTTATCGCTCCTACTTCTTAGCCCCGCCCAGTTACTTTTATCTCCATAACTTTCGTTTCTCCCATATAACTTTCGTTTCTCCAGCCAGTATTTTTCCACACAGTCAGCACTTTATCACATGGCAACATTAGATTGTCCATCCATCACTTTTACAAGGTTAACCATTGCAACGTTTAGCGTAACAGTACATTGAAACAGTTGACCATTGCAACATTTAGCGTAACAGTACATTGCAACATCTCCTCTGTTTTTGTTTTATTTGGAAAGTGATATTAACACTACCCTAATGGTGATTCTTGCTCGCCCCCTCCTCCTCCGAGTCTGAGGCTTGCAAGTGCATTAGGATGCATGTTTTGTCCTTACCAACACTTTTGATGATTTCATCTTTGTCTGAGTCCGAGGAGAATGATAACAAAGGTTGCTTTTCTTGTGTATGGGATATGAGAGTATTTACCTGTTTCTGAGTTCGTGACAGGTTGGAATCCAACTGGCTTAGTCTGCGTTTTAAGAAGGCCAAAACTTTGCCCAAAATACAAGGGCCAATGGTACAGAGCACAAGTAGGAGAATAAGAGGACCAGCAATGGCAGATACTAAGGTGGTTAACCATGGGGAGAAGTTGAACAGACCCTGATACCATGTGTGTTGAGCCTCTCGTTCTCTTTGCCTTTCTTTTAGTCTCGTATCTAACTCTTTCATAGAATCTAAAACCACTCCTGAACTATCTGCATAAAAACAACATTCTTCTTTCAGTGCTGCACATAACCCACCCTGCTTGAGGAACAACAAATCTAAACCTCTTCTATTCTGTAAGACAACTTCAGATAGGGAAGTGAGGGAGTTCTGCAAAGCAACTATAGATTGTTCAATGCGGCGTAAGTCTGCATCTATGGTGGCGCTTAAATGGTGAAAATGCTGATCAGAAGTAACAAGGCCAGCTATACCTGTGGCCGTCCCAGAAGCCCCCAACCCCAGCAGTGCAGCTAGCGTCAAAGCAGTTACTACTTCTCTTTTTGCCCTAAGGTTATATTGTCTAGGTTCTAGTAAAGAAACAAAATCTTCTGAGTTATATACATCCATTTTTGGCAGTAGCTGGACCTGAATACAGAATGATTTTTTTGTCAATAGTACATCTCCGTGGACACATGCAGTTAAACCTGTAGAGCAAGCCTAAACAGAGTTCAGCAAAGTCAAAATGTAATTTGGGGAAATAGGAAGAAATCATGGTGTAATTAGTTGTAGAGTTGAGTATTTGTCCATACGCGTCCTTGATGACCCATGTGATGTTGTATGGTCTGTGGGCGTTAAAGCTGGTGGATGTTCCATCAGTCCAGTGAAGCGAACAGCCAAGCAGGAAGAAGAAGAGTGTTGCCTTCTTTTTCGGATGATGGCTCCGCTGATTGTGGGCGGTGATATGGGCGGACACACCTTGCAGGAACCCAGAGAGTTCTGTCAGGAAGCTGGACTGCTGCGTAGCCTCGACCCCAGGTGATCAATTCGACAGGTCCTTTCCACGCAGGATCAGGTAACTGTCTATAATAGACAAGTGGTCTCGAAGTGGGAACAGATGGTTTAGTAAAGTGTCGAGACGCAGCAGACAGGGGAGGGGTGCCAGTGAGATTGAGGAAGTTAAGCGTATACAGACAAACATTTAACACATTTTGTAATACTGGGAGGCTAGGGGGGCCCTTAAGGCCTTTTGACCCCATGTATCGTTGTAATGCCAATTTTAAGGTTTGGTGAGCCCTTTCAACTATAGCTTGCCCCTGGCTATTGTAGGCCATCCCAAACTTGTGGATAATGGACCAGTGATGGCAGAACTCAGAGAATTGAGAGCTGACATAGGCTGGTGCATTATCTGTTTTTAGATTTTTTGGTGGTCCCAGTACTATGAAGGTCCGAATACAATGATTGATAACGTGCTTTGACGTTTCTCCCCTTTGAGGGGTGGCCATGATGAACCCTGAATAGGTGTCAATAGACACGTGAAGGTATTTCCAAGGGGCAAAAGGTGAGAATTGAGTGACATCCATTTGCCATGTCTCACAAGCCTCTATGCCCCTGGGATTAATCCCTTGAGGAAGGGTTTTTGCTTGCAAACTGCAAGTGGGGCATTGTTGTATGATTGCAGTTGCTTCTTCCAGAGAAATGCCAAATTGTTTAACCAGAGCCTTTTTGTTTTGATGAAAATAACTATGACTTTCCCCTGATAATAGAGGGGAAGGTTGAGGCATCTTAATACTGATGGGAAGTACTTTACAAGCAGTATCAGCTACCTGGTTCCCTTCTGAAAGGAAACCTGGGAGATGTTGATGACTACGTATGTGGGCTACAAATAGAGGATGGGTCCTAGATTGAATGAGCATTTGCAGCTAAAGCAACAGTGTCATTAATGATGGTTGTATAGAAGGAGATAGATATGCCTCAAAAATATGTAAGACCAATTGGGAGACATATAGACTATCCGTTATGATGTTAATTGGTTGTCCAGGAAATGTCTTCAAGGCTAAGTTAAAAGCAGCTAATTCAGCTTGCTGTGCTGATGATTGGGGCTTTGTCAGTTGCTTGTGCCAGTTAACTTGATCATACCAGACACAAGCACCATGAGTTTTAGAGCCATCAGTGAAAACTGTGATTGCTTGAATTAGTGGAAAAGCAACTACTGGAGAGGAAGAGGTAATAGGTATCATTTTAATTAGCTGCAAACGGGGGTCAGAAGGGAGATGGCAGGAGATGGGACCAATCCAATTTTCCAGAGCGTCCTGTAATACATCTGACATCTGAAAAAGGGGTTCCCATTGAGAGAGTTTGAAAGGAATGTGTATAGCTTGAAGATCGTGAGCGAGCAAAGCCTTGGCTCGGTGACGTCCCTTGATACAAAGCAGAGCGAGCTGAAGGGCTCTAGAGGTGACAGTTGCTCTAGGAGTGTGAGGGAGGTGAAGCCATTCGATGATGTATAGCTTTTTTGTCTTGGGATCAATTTGGAAAAGAATGGCTGTGAAAAGGGCTGGTGTGGGCAAGACAGCCAAGGAGAGCAGACAGTTAGGGATGATGCGATCAAGCCCGTGAGGGCATGGAATAGAGAGGAAAGGGTTGCAGTAATAAGAGTGGCTACTATAGTGTTAACAGGCAATGAGAAAGGTCGATCACCTCCAGCTGCA